TATGTGTACAATATTAATCTGTGTTTCTTTATGTATTGTGTTGGTCTTTATGTCTCAGATTTCTTTGGGTATTTTTTTAATGCTCTTAGTCCCTGCTTTCTTATTTAACCTTTTATTTTATGGTTTGTCTGTTTTTAGTGGTATATTTTACTCCATCTGTTCAGTTATGAATGAGTTTATTCTGCTTTCTTCTTTCCCTTTCCATTTCTTACACATATTTTTATTTTTTTAAGATTTTATGTATTTATTCATGAGAGACAGAGAGAGAGAGAGAGAGAGAGAGAGAGAGAGAGAGGTAGAAATATAGGCAGAGAGAGAAGCAGGCTCCATGCAGGGAGCCCCATGTGGGACTCGATCCTGGGACTCCAGGATCACGCCCTGAGCTGAAGGCAGGCGCTAAACCGCTGAGCCAGCCAAGCATCCCTCTTACACATATTTTTAATTGCAGTACTTTCTAACCTGTCAGTACTTTTAACATTTATTTTTTTAAAGATTGTGTTTATTCATGAGAGACACAGAGAGAGACAGGCAGAGACACAGGCAGAGGGAGAAGCAGGCTTCATGCAGGGAGTCCAATGTGGGACTTGATCCCAGGACTCTGGGATCATGCCCTGAGCCAAAGGCAGAGGCTCAACCACTGAGCCACCCAGGCGTCCTGCACTTCTAACATTTATATGTTACTCTTCCACCATTGTCCCCACTTTTGCTTTAGTCTTCAATTAAATATATTAGATGCTTACTGTAAATCTCTTCCTGAAGTTTTCCCAATCAGCTCTTGGTTGGGTAAAAGTTGTCCTCTTGTAGATTCTTTGAGAAGGTTTACGAATGTAGTGTACCTGGAGTTCTTGCATATTTTGAACAGTTTCTATAACTTTGCTACTTGAAGGACAGTTTGGTTGAGTAGAAAATCCTGGCTTTCACTTTCTTGAGTGTCTTCAAAAGGCTGCTATATTTTTATGTTGCTTTGTGTGTTCTCTTGACAATTTTGATGTCACTCTCTTTCTCCTACACTTTAGTCTTTATACCTACAGGTTATGTAAGTATTTGATTTGATAGTTTTATTCCAATACACCTTTGAGTTGATTGTTGTGATTCAGTTTTGCCAACTACCTCATGGGCCTTTTCAATATGTATACTCCAATCTTATTTTGTTGCCAGAAAAATTTCATAGTTTATAGTTTCTTTTTTTTTTAATTTTTGTTTATTTATGATAGTCACAGAGAGAGAGGGAGATAGAGAGGCAGAGACACAGGCAGAGGGAGAAGCAGGCCCCATGCACCGGGAGCCCGACATGGGATTCGATCCCGGGTCTCCAAGATCGTGCCCCGGGCCAAAGGCAGGCGCTAAACCGCTGCGCCACCCAGGGATCCCCAGTTTATAGTTTCAACTGTTGGTTCTGTTACACTGGTTTTTTTTTTTCTTCAGAGATTCTAGTTACATATGTTGGGTCTTTTTTGCCTGTCTTCTATTTCAACCACTTTCGCTCTAAAATCTGTTACTTTTTTCTCTCATTTTTATTCTCTTAATTGCTGTTCTCTTAATTGCTTTTTTAAAATGCCCCTTCCAATTTTCATTAGAATCTCTTATCCCATTGGCATCTTGTGTTTTTTAGCCATTATCTGTGAGATGGTTTTGTCTTTTTCTTGTTTGTTTCCTGAGTTCAAATAACTTTTCTTCTTTCTTTCTTTCTGTCTTTCTGTCTTTCTGTCTTTTCTTTCTTTCTCTTTCTTTCTGTCTGTCTGTCTTATTTGAATTTCTGATTCAAAGTGGCTTTTCATGGGGGTACCTGGGTGGCTCAGTTAAACATCTGCCTTCAGTTCAGGTCATGATCCCAGGGTCCTGGGATCAAGCCCCACATCCATTGGGCTCCCTGCTCAGCAAGGAGCCTGCTTCTCTCTCTCTCCTCTCTCCCCTCTCCCCCATGTTTTCTCTCCCACTCTGAAATAAATAAAATCTTTAAAAAAGAAAAGCAGCCTTTCATATCTCCAGATGAATGTTAGAAGATACTTAAATCAGTTTGGAGTGTTGTGATAGTTTTCTTCTGCTTCATTGTTAGGGTTTTTTTTGGCATAATTTTCTTCAGCTAAAATGTTTGATTCTCATTTCTATTTTCTTCCAGTAATAGGTTTGTATGGAAACTGCTCTTCTCTCTTTTATTTCCTTGGCAGTATTTGTCTTGTAATAATTGACAGCTATCCTAGCTCAAGATAGTTCTTTCTGTCACTGTACCAAAGTGCAGTTTTTTTCATGAGTAGCACATTTTAAAAATTAGTGGTGAAGAGATTTGCATGTCCTTCAGTTTTGGGTTCTCCTTTGTCTTGCAGGGGCACAAATCTATCCCTCTTGCTTCTTTTTCCCTTCTCTTTCCAGCCTCTGAGGGAGCTTAGGGAGGCCTCTCCCTTCCCTCCTGCCCTTCTCTTCCCCAAGAGCAGTGTCACGCTGACTGATGCCTCCTCAGCATCCATGCCTTTAAGTCCCTTCCCTGCGGCAGACATTTGATCTACCAGGACACACTTAGAATTTCTGCATGTGTGCTGTTTTTTCTCCTCAAGGGATGGAGGGGGGATGATTTTAAGTCTATCATAGACCCTTCATTTCCTCTTCTGTCTTCTTGACAGTTTTTCCAGATCCCACCCCAGTCCTGTATTTGCTCTCTGCAAAGTGGGACCTTCAGAGATATCTCTTCCAGAATTTGTAGTTTACTTTTCTACTTTAATTTGTAAATTCCTCTGTCTTCCTGCAATGTTGGAAACATTGCATTTAATATGGTTTTATTGTTTATTGAGGAGATTAGATTTAGACAGCCACCATTATCCTCGGCACTATCAAAGTTCTCCACCATAAACATCTTCCCAAGCCATTTAGGTATAATATGGAGAGGGTTGGGAACTTTGGGTAAGTGTAGAGAATAAGAAAGAAGGCATTTTATTTAAAACAAACCGATTTTGAGATGATTCTATTTGTGTAGAGATAGTCATCAAACATATAATTGGTCTGTACCTCAGTTAAGATGTTAAGAATTACTGCTTTTTCACACTCCAGTAGAGTCCTAGTAAGCTGGAATTAGAGTCATAAATGCCTTTGAGGAATTTCTGCCGTGGTCTGACTCCTCTCTGCATGCTCAGATTCATCTTCCATGAACATATAAGGGCTTTAGAAAACAGCTACTATTGAAAGGTTACCAGATAAAATAATATTTTTACTATTTTCTGGTGCTTTATTTTATCGAATTCAGAAGTTTGGTTGATGTGACTGAGAGATCTAAGTATTAGTCTGAGAACTCAATCATTATTAAGCCATTTGCGAAAAAAGAAAATCATAGATCAGTAGATCAAATCATCTACCTAGAGAGAAATAAAATAATACAAAGACTTAAATATCATAATTAAGCTTTTTGGCATACTCATAGTTTATGCCAGTAACATGGGATTTATCAAGCAGGTTGAATTCATAAATCCACAGAGATTTACACCAATAACTTTCTAAAGCAAATTCCCAGTTTCTACTATTTTCTTTCCTATCACCTGTAACTAGTCTGAAGAACAAATGTATGCATGCTTGTATCTAAATACATTTAAGATAATAATATTTATGTAACAAAATGGTATAACCTACAGAGTTTTCAAAACATAATCTGTGATGAATTTTCCATGCATTAAGTGTATATTGCTTCCATTTTCTCCCTTTAATAAGAGAAAATAGAATCTATAAAAATATATATAGCATTGTAAAACATTTAGTAATAGTCATTTACCCAAGTAAAACACTTTTCCCATTTGTATATCTCTATGGTGGCAAGTGAGCGTGGATGATTTCTTTCTCCACTGAGACACTCTGTGGATGATGAAAAAGATGTTAGTGAAGTAAAAAAAAAAAGTACTCATTTGAACCATGAAAAATTTGTAAAGTGGTCAGCATTTCACTTGACAGTTTATTAATACTAAGACCTGGACTGTGCATTCTTTTGAATTAACTGAGAGGCAGTATAGCATAGTGATTCAAATTGTGATCTCTGGAACCTGACTTCCTGGGTTCTAATTTCATCCTAGTTTCACTTTCCCTTGGTTTTCTCATCCACATAATTGGTTAAAAATAGCACTTACTTCATAGAATGGTTGTAAAATTATATGTAATATTCATAGGACAATATTACTTAAGTGCTATTATTATCACTATTAGATTATATTAAGATTCTGCTCGATAAAGTGGTTTATATTAAAAATATAAAGCTATATATTTTTAATCCTAGACTTATTTATTTAATAATGTTGGCCTTCTTCAACATGTAATCCAGTCACCACAAAATTCACAAGTGAAGTGAGTGATAGAAGACAGAAAAATATTTCCATGGAAATCCCTATGAAAGAAAGCATCACTGAAAAATTAGAGAAACCTGTCTCCTTTTTCATGCTCTTTATTTTCTTTGGGAGCTAAGAATTTAAGGATCTGTTCCTTCGTACATATAAAAGCTAAGAGCAATAAATGATGCACTGAAAAGATTTTCTGTTTTTAATGGCTGCTTTAGTCAGCAACCGCATCTACTCTTTCTTCTCTCCACCAGGTGGAAGTATAACACTTTGTACCCTGTCTCTTCCTCAATTCTTTCTAGTCTCCTAGTCAGAGAGGTGAGGAAGGAAAAGATAAACACTGTATTCAAGAGTGTGAAATGTTCCACCAGCTGGATTTTACAGCATCATATTTTAATAATTTACTTGAGGATAATGAAAGTAGACTGGATACAGTTCCTTTCCACAAATTCTTTAATTCAACTGAACTAAAAGCAGACCCATTATAAGAAATATATAAAATCTTTCTAGTAGCTGGAAGAACTGCATTATGACTAAACTGAATTACCAAAATAATGTTCCAGTATCTTTAAGTGTATTTAAAATTAAATGACGGAAAGAAATTTTGGCATCTAAGTAAATCGGTTTTACGTAAGAGACTGTGAGCACGTTGTCCTTGATAACTTGATTAAGCTGAGTCATCTTATTTTCCAGGTGTAACATTGTGCTGCAAGTCAATACAGTAATATAAGTCATTTCAACTATAATGGAAAAGTACGAAAAATTAGCTAAGATTGGAGAAGGATCTTATGGGGTTGTATTCAAATGCAGAAACAAAACCTCAGGACAAGTGGTAGCTATTAAAAAATTTGTGGAATCTGAAGATGATCCTGTTGTTAAGAAAATAGCACTAAGGGAAATACGTATGTTGAAGGTATGTTAACTTTCTCTGTATATAACATCATGGTATTGGATGAAATGTGTATGCCAAAATTACAATTCAAATGGATTTTAAAGTGATATTTTTTTCTCATTGAACTTAAATTTCTTGGTATCAGCAACTATGGAAAATAAATTGATTATTACTTTGGACTTTGGCAGTTCTGATATTGAAGTCCTTACATTGTGGTTGGTAAATATTCAATGTCCTAAGTCCCTTCACCCCAGTGTTTACCCTCCCCCTCCCCCACCTTGGCCTTTCTCCACCTGCCCACCTCCCTTCTCCCCACAAACCAGCAGCTAAAAGAACACCTCCTGGCACAGGAGCCCACCAGGACTGTACCAGTCCCCCTGTAAGCATCAATATGGCATCTGTGCTTCACTCCACCGGGTCTTAGGCATATTGAGTATCTCCCCCAGCTATATAGATATTTTTCACAAAGATTTTGTTAGGCTTTTTTTTTTTTTTTAAGGTAAGCTCTATGCCCAACGTGGGGCTTGAACTCCAGACCCAGAGATCAAATCACATGCTTTAAGACTGAGCCAGCCAGGCACCTCTAAAGTTGTTTTTACTCTGATAGGATTTGACATGTAAGATAAGTCTTCAACTTAAATATTTTCCAGGCCTAGAAATCTTATGGTTTTAGAAGCACAGAAGACCTTAGGGATGCCTCTCATCCATCATCCTTATTTTATCAGAGAGGAAACTGAGGTACAGGACAGCACTTCTCAAACATTAATGTGCTTTGGAATTCCCGAGGGGACTTTGCTAAAATGAAGATTTTGAGTCAAAGGTCCATGACCAGCCTGAGATTCAGCATTTCAAGTAAACTCCCCAATGGCACAGTAGGTGCTGATTTATAGACCACACTTTGAGTAATAAAAGTGTGATTTCCTTACTTTTGACCTGTGCCATCTTTCTTTTAGGAAAATCCCAGAAACCAGTTTTTAGAGGAGGATAACAATTACCACATTATCCGTCCTTCCAAGTATTATTTGCAGCAGGTTTTCTCAAACTAATAATAGTTTAAGGGATCCCTGGGTGGCGCAGCGGTTTAGCGCCTGCCTTTGGCCCAGGGCGTGATCCTGGAAACCCAGGATCGAATCCCATGTCGGGCTCCCGGTGCATGGAGCCTGCTTCTCCCTCTGCCTATGTCTCTGCCTCTCTCTCTCTCTGTGTGTGACTATCACAAATAAATAAAATTAAAAAATAATAATAATAGTTTAAAATATAATTTAATATACACAGAATTTTCCCATCATAAAAACCGGTTCACTGATACCTCACAGCCGGCAGAGGGCGCGGGTTAGCCAGGCGGCTTTGTCTCAGAGCTAAGAAGCTACAGGGTGTGTCTGAACCGGCCGTGGGTGGTTTTCTCATAAAAGTAATGCTTTTTATCCAGCACCTGCCGCCGCCTCATGTCTGCAAGTAAGGTTAAGCTCAGGTAGTACCTCCTGGGTCACAATGCCCCAATTTAAGAATGGACTTTAAGGTCATAAGTAGTCGGAGGGGCCCTGGGTGACTCAGTAATTGAGCCCCTCAGGGTGTGATCCTGGGGTCCTGGGATCAAGTCCTGCATCAGGCTCCCCGCAGGAAGCCTGCCTCTCCGCCTATGTCTCTGCCTCGCTCTGTGTGTCTCTTATGAATAAATAAATAAAATCCTTTTTTTTTTAAGTAGTAAGATTCCACCTCAGCTTGTCTGGCGATGGTTCTTCTAATGTACCTCTTGCCAGCTATATGATGTGTTACACCCATGCATGCCCTGAACAGATTCCTTCCAAAATAAATTTATCTTACCTTCCTCACATCCTCCTAGTATTTAAATGTGATTTGATTTTTGTCCTCCGTATTACCTGTTTTATTTATACAAGTCACTGTTTTTCTGGGCTAAATTAATTTTATTTGCAAAAGGGATATAAATTGCTGAGCTGCCCAAAGACAGATTTGACCAGGTTAGCATCTATAAATCCCTTACTTTCCTGGTAAAAACACTGTCTTCTTCCCTTCCGTGGTTTTTAGCGTAGCACAAAGTGGCTGGCTTACCTGTGTGACCTGTCCATCCATTCTTTGCCTTTCTGCTCTTTAGGCAATGGCAAATCGATTTTGTGCTCTGGACATATTTTTAATATGTGATGGAGTCATTTTTCCCAAACTATTGAGCACATAGTTGCAGAGTGATTTTTCCCCCCTCAAACCATGCTTACAGAAACTAGAGGATGCTGTTTCTATTGGGCCTGTAAAATATTTATGCAGCTCCCACTATATGCAAAATATGGTGCTCCCTCTATATAGCTATCTGTCTAAGTGGCATAGGGTTTGAAAAGTGATGTATCTAATATACTGGGAAAACAATAGAGAAAATGAGTTATATGTAGATGGGAGCGACCAGATGTCCTGTTTATAGCTATTGTCCCAGAGTCCAGTCTGATTAGCACCTTCTTTCAAAAGCATCCTGGTTTGGGACACCTGGGTGGCTCATTGCTTGAGCATCTGCCTTCTACTCAGGGCATGATCCTGGAGTCCCAGAATCGAGTCCCATGTCGGGCTCCTTGCATGGAGCCTGCTTCTCCCTCTGCCAGTGTCTCTGCCTTTTTCTCTCTGTGTCTCTCATGAGTAAATAAATGAAATCTTAAAAAAAAAAAAAAAAAGCATCCTGGTATGTGTGCTAAATTATGTGGCCACCCTAGATATAGGCAGAGTGACTGTATCTGCCTGTTTGCCTGGGACAGTCTTGTCTTATACTCTTTACCCTGATTGGATGATAAATTATACAGTTACTCTATGATGTGTTATCTTACCCATTATAGAATTTTTTCTCTGGTTTAAAACATTAAACAGAGGCTGCCTTGTGAAATGCTTAGCTTGAGATAGAATTTAACACATAAAACATCTAAGCATAAGAGAAAGCAATAGAATCAAAGAACAGAGCTGAATAGATGATAAATTAATAACACACTGTGGGAACTCCTACAATAGGTAGTTTAACCAGATTTGGAAGTTGGGATCTAAAATCCAGACACCACTTAAATCCAGCTGACATTTGTTTTAAATCTCCGGCACTCTGCAAGCTAAATGGGGATTGATAATCTTTATAGCCTTTAACTCAATACTTCTACCTCCTCAATTTTTTATTCAGGTTCCTTTATGACTTGGATATTTAGAATTTTCACAAAATCCATAAAGTATTTATGACATCGGTACCTTTATTTCATGTGTGTACTTCATTTGCTATCTCCAGAGATTCAAGCAGCTTAATTACCACCTGTTACAGGTACATTAGAAGAAGAAAAATGTCTTCTTTTTTTCCCAACCTTAAGTGTCTAAGATTCTTACTAAGAGTAGTTTTCTCTTGTGAGTAACCATAATAAAATTATCCACAAGAAATGCAAAGAGAATGATAAAAAGGCCTTGCATTGCTTAAGTTGTAAGGGATCTGGGGAGAAACTACCAAGAGAAACAAATCATTGAACTTTGTATTTCAATTCCTTTTGCAGCAATTAAAACACCCAAACCTTGTGAACCTCATTGAGGTTTTCAGGAGAAAAAGGAAAATGCATTTAGTGTTTGAATACTGTGATCACACACTTTTAAATGAGCTGGAAAGAAATCCCAAAGGGTAAGTAATCTGGAAACTGAGACTCTGTATGACCACTCAGTTTCATTATATGTTGGGCTAACTGTGGCAGATTTCACATCTGAAACACACTCCTCTTTCTACCAAGATGCATCTGCTGGCTACCTCTTCTCCATCTTAGGATGTGCTCTGAGGGACACAAATACTAACCTAGAGTAAAAATATTTAGGAAGACAAATTGGCTGCAAATATAAATCACAATGCATCCCGATGCTATTATGTATGAGGTTATACCTTGGAGATATTGCAGATTTGGCTCCAGACCACTGCAATAAAGCAAAGATTGTAATAAAGTGAGTCAAATGAATTTGTTGGTTTCCTAGTGTGTTTAAAAAGATATGTTTACACTATATTGTAGTCTATTAAGTGTGTAATAACATGTCTAAAAAACAATGTACGTACTTTAATTTTAAAATATCATATTGCTTTTAAAAATGCTAACCATCATCAGAACTTTCAGCAAGTCATAATCACTAATTGCAGATCACCATAAAATATAATAATAATGAAAAAGTTTGAAATATTATAAGAATTACCAAACACAGAAAGTGAACAATGGCTATTGGAAAAATAGCGCCAATGAACTTGCTTCACAGGGGGTTTCCGTAAACTGTCAATTGGTAAAAAACACAATGTCTGTGGAGTGCAATAAAGCAAAGCACAGTATAACCGAGGGTAATAAAATGAGGAATGTCTGTATGAATTCAAGGAATGAACCATGGTTCAATATTAGGATTCAGTATTAGAATTCATATAATTCACTAGTAGGTCAACGGACCAAAAAAATACATGGGGTTGATAAAATTTGAAAAGGCAGTTGATAAATTCAACATCCTTTCCTGGTTATTGGGTGGGTGGGGGGAACCTTAGCAAACTAGGATTAAAATACTTCCTTAGTGTACATGTGTGCGCGCGCACACACCCCTCTTCAAGTCAACAGCTAATTTTATACTAAAGGAACCACCATTAAAGTGAGAAACAAGGAAGTCAGTTGTCACCAGTATAATGTAACATTCCAAGAGCTCTAGCCAATGTATTGCAATAAGAAATACAAATAGAATGTATAACTTTGGAGACAAGATTAATCATTTTTGTCTGGATGATAGTATTCTACAAAATCTAAGAGAATTGCCTAAGAGTCATTACAACCAGTGGAATTCAGTATAATGACTACAGCTCTCCAAATTCCACACACAAAAATTAACAGCTTTTGTACCAATCAGCACTTTAGAAAATCTAGTGGAGAAGCATCTCATTCAAATATCAACAACAAAAAAGTTTAGAAGATAAAAAGAATTGTTCAGACTCTACGTAAAGACAACTACAAAACTTAGGTGAGGTACATAAATGATTTTATTTAAATTAACATATATTTCTGGGGCTCCCTGGGTGGCTCAGCAGTTTGGTGCCTGCCTTTGGCCCAGGGCATGATCCTGGAGTCCTGGGATTGGGTCACATATCGGGCTCCCTGTATGGAGCCTGTGTCTCCCTCTGCCTATGTTTCTGTGTCCCCCCCCCCCCAGGTCTCTCATGAATAAATAAATAAAATCTTTTAAAAAAATAAAAAAAAATAAAAAAATAAATTAACATATATTTCTGGATGGAAATATTCATTATTACAAAGATACTGCTTCCTTTATTTATTTATTGCACAAAAATCTAATCAGAGTGCCAACGGGATTTTTTTAACTTGAAAATCAAGTTATCTAAATCAGTATCTTTTTTTTAAAAAGAAAGGGGACCTTAACTGCCAAATACTTAAATCAGTTAGAGATTTCCTTTGACAAAAAGTACCATAAACAAAACTAAAAATTTATTTGCCAGGTGAAGAATTAATATAATTTCATTTGCAGATTTTACAAATTAAATGTTTTAAAAGATTAACACCCAGTTAGAAAATATATTCATCCAAAAAAACTTGAGTCAAATCCTACTATTGTTCCAGCTGGATACAGAGAATATAGCAGTAAAAAGAACATACAAAAAAAGTTGCCTAACTTTTATGGAACTTACATCCAATTCCTACATGAAAAAGTAAATCATAAAGCAGAGGGGAAAATGACAAACACACCTTGGAGAACATGTTTATTCTCCCAATTAATTAGAAAAAATTCAAAAATTTAAAATAAGGTACCATTTCTTGCCTATCAAATCAGCAAAGAATTTTGAAAAACCAATATACCTAGCATTGTTAAAGTCAAGGAATCGGTCACTCTGATTCACAGCTGCTGAGAGTATATAATTGAAGGGAAATTTAGCAGTATGTATGAAAATCCTTTAAATGGTTTTCATCCTTTGATAAAGACATTCCATTTAGAGAAATTTATAATAAAATAATCAGATAGTTGCAAAGTTACACATAAGAATGTTCAACACATCAATATTTATAACAACAACAAATTGGGACTGACTTAATTTTCTAATAGTAAAGATTTGGTTAACTTTGTAGCACTTTGCTACATCCATACAATAGAATATGATGCATCCAGCCCATTAAAATGGAAGCTGTAAAATACTCATGTTCTGGGGAAATATTCATGAAATGATACTGTGGAAAAAAATGAGATTAGAAAATAGAATGTCCAGTGTAATTGAAATTTATTTTGAATTGTTCCAATATCCCAGTGAATGCACATATTTTACTTTTAAAATAAAAATTATTTTAAAAAACAGTTTACATGATGAATTAATTCATAATTCATCTTTATTATGAGCTAAATAGGTTTTGTATTGGCTCAGAGGACAGATTGTTTAACCATCCTACAAGTTAATTTATAAACTAACATATATTTTCATAAAGTTAGAAATGTAAACTTCATGTATTGTGCAAGGCCTAAAAATAGGGGCAGCCCGGGTGGATCAACAGTTTTGTGCCGCCTTCAGCCCAGGGCCTGATCCTAGAGACCCAGATCGAGTCCCACGTCGGGCTCCCTGCATGGGGAGCCTCCTTCTCCCTCTACCCCTCTCTCTCTCTCTCTCTCCATAAATAAAATCTTTAAAAAAAAGATTAAAAAAAAGACAAAGACTGTCTTTAAAAAAAAAAAAAAACGGCCCTAAAAATAAACATACCATACATACAATACACATACCTGTTTAACTGAACTAAACATCTTTCTCTTCCCTCTATGCACCATAAGCCTTCCTACCTCTGGGACTTAGCTGATGCTCTTCCTTTAACTTGGAATATTCTAACTTATTCCACTTTCCCTTTCTCTATCATCATCTTTGCAATGGGAAATCCTAGGGGCACCTGGCTGGCTTAGTTGGTAGAGCATGTGATTCTTGATATGGGGGTTGAAAGTTTAAGCCCTATGTTGGGTGTAGAGATTACTTAATAATAAAATCTTTAAAAAATAAATAAAATGGGAAATCCTAGATATTCTCAACATATCAGAAATTCCTCCACGTGGGTGGAATTCCTTCCTCCTTGGCATAGCCACAGAGTTTTATTTCTATCTGTGTTACGGTCCTTGGTACCTAACTGCCTTATGTGATTTTATGTGCATTCTCTCTTACTGGATTGTAAGTATTTTGAGTGCAGAATTCAAATCTAATTAATCTTAACAGCTTCCTCAGTGTGCACCATTCTTTTATTCATTCACTTCAGAAATAAGTTATTGAGGACTTCTGCTGGTGCAGAGGATACAAAGATATAGTGGCTCAGTCCTGCCCTCAAGAAGCTTAAAATTGAATTGAGAGACATATACTCAGAATAGCAGTTACAAATGGCAATGTTGATTGGGTTAATGTTGGTACAACTGCAACATCTGCCAGTCCTGGGGAATCAGGGAAGTTTCTGCAGAGAAGGACGTTTTTAGCCTTAGACTTTACAAAGGGAAGAGTTGGCCAGATGGACAGTCATGGGAGGAATGCACAGCAAGAAGGAGCAAAACATAGTCAAGTAATCTTTCATACAGTGTATTTAAGAACCACAGGGATCTCTCTCGCTCTCTCTTTTTTTTTTAAGTTTTATTTATTTAATCTCTATACCAAGTGTGGGGCTCAAACTCATGACCCTGAGAGATCAGGAGTCTCACACTCTTCCGACTGAGCTACCCTCACAAGGATCTCTGAACTACCTACTTTCCACTCTTTTAAGTTTTATAAGTGTATTTAGCAGGGCTAGTGCGTACATGTGCTTTTGGTCCACCCTGAGATCTACATAGGAGATCAGTGCAGAACCTGCCACTCTTTTTATGAAATGCAGGGTACTTCTGCATAACAATGATTAATTTAAAACATCCATCTTCACTCCCTTCTTAAAACCTACTTAAGTAATAACAAAGTGTAAAACCAGTGAATAGAAACAGGTGAATAACCAGACTGCACACATACCAACCCTGTTTGAGCCATTGTTTAATAGAGTAAATTCACAGTTTGGATAAATAACTGGTGTGCAGATATGAGGCAATCAACATAGTGGACAGGTAGGCTGAGCTGTGGGATGGTGAGCTGATGACCAAGAGATCCAAGCACTAAATCGTATCATTAAGAAGAGCTGATTTAACACTAAGATGGTGAAAATGTACTGCTTCCTCTGCCAGATAAAACCTTTGGTGTCTTCTGTTTGGATAGAAAGAAAAGCACTTGTTATTTAGATCAATAGCTGCATGCTGAGTACTGGTACTGAGACTGGGCTGGATTTGGTCAAGTAAAGAAACTATATGTATGTACAGCAGCTGAAACTGGCATCACCTGATTAAACTTAAAATAATCTATTCCCATTCTCTAGGACCCTGCTGTGTTCTATAGTAAGTACAATGGGCAAGTTAATTGGTTATGTGAGAGAAATTGCGTCCCTGCCAGAGGAAGGATTTTCCTTCCCATTGCACTATGTATAATGGAATAATCCTGCCTTCAAGAAGATTAAGATCTATTGAGGAATCAGAAATGCAAAGGAACAATTATAAGTGATTATAGTATTATAAAGCTAGTGGTTTATAAAACTACAGCTGTCCATTCCACTTCTGGCTGACAGTAGC